CTCTCTCTCTCTCTCTCTCTCTCTCTCTCTCTCTCTCTCTCTCTCTCTCTCTCTCTCTCTTTCTCTCTCTCTAGCTCGCCAAAGAACGGTCTCGTGCCCGAGATTAACTTTGAATTCGTCGAGCGGACCGTCGTCGTCGTCAGGCGAAGGGAGGGCGGACGCGAAGAGGGCGGGCAGAACGAAAAATTTGTCCGTCGTAGGAGCGGACGGACCGGAACGACGGGAGATCGATGGAAATCGGGGCCACGTACGACGTATTCTCGCGTGTGCCGCTTTCCCGAAACGCTACGGGGGAGAGAAAACGAGAAAAGGCACCTCACCCCGGTTGCGATATCCCGGTCTGATGGGCATTCATCGCGTCATGACGCGATTCGTCCCAGTGATCCGACAAATTCTACGAGGCGCGATTTCCCGAGGAGTCGATGCCAGTCGCGCTGTTAAAGGTAGGTGACCGATAAAGGTAGATGGATCTAGACGAGAGACGCGGAATTTTAACTTTGTTGCGCCAACTTCTTCTCGACTTCTAGATTGAAGACCCGCGCTATCGACACAACAGAAGAATGTCCTCTACGACGTCGAGATAGCGGAATATCTCTGTGTTGCATCACGACGGCTCGATTGGCTCCACGAGGGTCGGCTCGCCGCTCTCCGCCGACGATTTTTTCCGCGTTGGCGAGGCTTGTGTTTTCCGTCCGTGGCGCGTAATACCCAGTCAACCGGCGGTCGTTACGCATACGACAAAAACGACGTTAGACGTTTACCCTCTCCTGCGAGTCAGGGAGCCCGTTAATGGCGCGCCCGCAAAGTCGAATAGGGCGGCCTGCGAGCTCATAGAACGAACGGCGGGTGGCTAGCGGAATAACGGAATGGCTAACGGGAACGTCCCTCTGATTGCAGTTAATTTACTCGCTGAATCGGGTTAATGTAGCGTACCGGCCGTGCTGTAGCGTACCGTACTGTGCTGTGCTGCGTCGTGCCATGCCACGCGATTCCGCACGGACGACGTATCGGTGTCCCGCAGAAGGAAAGTCTTCTCTCCTTCGTCAGAGTATCGTTAGTCGTGCCTGCCCGACGCGATCTCTTCTTAATTGCGCAGCAATTTTTTTCTCCTTTTCTTTCATACGATTAATTCGGTCGCGACGAACGTATTTGTATGATTACGGTCTATCGATCTTTCTCTCTCTTTCTTCCTCTATCCTTGAGAGTGAAAAAATTACGACTTACCCGGAGAAACTGTAATTGGAGCGAGTTCTCGGGCACGTCTGAAAATATCGTAATTTATCGTGCGTAAGAGATATCCGCGCGAGGTCGCATCGGGAGGGAAAAATATCGCATTACGATCGCGATAATTCATTCGGAATGTACAACACGGATCCTCCGCGTGACAGATCGTTAAAATCTTATTTGACTTGAGATACTCGCCGGCGGCACGTCAATGCACACATGTAATCCAGCCGCACTGGTATTTCACGCGCGATCATCCGCCCACAGGGCTGTCATCGATAATGTAATGTCGTTTCTCGGCGTCGCAATCGAGCGCGCGCGCTCACGTCACGGGATCAGGATCGTGATCGACAGCCCACGCCGAGTTCCGTTCTGTCTCCAGACACGCTGCTCTACACTTGCGCTGCTGCGTGTGCGGAGGAGAGGTAGAATCCGAGAATACATATTCTCGAAACGGATCATTAGGTCTGTTCTATTTAGTCTGAGTAGGTTGCACTTTTTGCTCTTAGAGTGAAATAAATGTATGACCTAACGTTGAAGAGGAAAGGAATAAATTCAACGTCAGTTCGACTGACAAAAATAGGCCTGTTATTATATCGAATATGTCGAAACATACTATCCTCTCGTTCATTCGATATTATATATCGAACCCGGAGAGAATATAGTTTTTTTTGTATAATTTTTTCAATTTTACTATACTTTTAGTAGTGCAGGGATAGACCTTACTGTCAGTAAGATCTATCTTGTTGAAGAATGTAACAAATTTTTTAATAGTACATTTCAGTTCCTGCATTGAGAAAAAATGTTTGATATTTGTGATTATAATTACATAGAAAAATAATTATAAATTATGGCCAAGAAAACTATTTTTCTATTAAATTCTGTTGTAATGATAACCTTATATGCATGTTACTCTACTACCATTTTACTAAAAATATGATTGGGGCCAAAATAACTATATTTTAGTTTGATTAATTATTTTTCTCTCAGTGTAAAATATAAATGACACATATAAAGTGAAGAGATATAAATCAATTGCTACAAAATGTCAATCTACTCCTCGTTACAAAATTCTGTAATAATTTACATTCTCTCCGTGTACCTTTCGGAAACTCGACTATTCTACCGCAATGCGGAATTAGAGTTCTCCCGTCGCCAAAGTCGCGATCAATGAGTGCGGTTACCTTCGTCGATATCGATATACATTGATCTTTCCTCCGTCCTGACATCGTGAGAGCCGCCCACACGCACCTCCACGCGCACAAAACGATCGTGTGGACCGCGGTCGACACACACCACGATTGCGTGGTGCGGAAATTTCGTGACGGATACGTACGCGCGCACGCCGGCCCGCGAACGCGTTCATTCACACGTGTATTCACGTGCCCTCTACGACGCGTTTACGAGAACGCTCTCGGCGAAACAGGCGCGTCGTCGGCGGCAGCGATGGCAGCGACGGCAGGGGTAGAGAAGCTATATCGTCCGCGTGTTGATTTACGCGGCGTACCGCGCATTTTTACTACCGCGTTATAGAGATTTAAGTGCGGCCAATTATACGTTTATGCCGTCTCCTTGCCTGTCCGCTCTCTTTCTCTCTCTCTCTTGCTCTCTCAAACGCGCTCGTTCTCTGCACTTCTATCTCTCGCTCGTTCTCCCAACGACGCGCTTCCGAGCGACGCGCGAACGGAACGACGCGCCCGGTTTCTTTCTCTCGGCTTGTCGCGAGCTATACTTAGCGAATGGAGAATGGGCGAAGCCTCACGCACGTCGGCGATAATCTATTTCGGGAGGACGAGATCTCTATCTTGTGTATGTGTGTGTATACGCGCGCGCGCACGCATGGACCATTCTCAAAATCGAAAATACAACAATGCTTCGCTGGAAGCGCGTCACAGTGGTGGAACGGTCGCGAGGGTGATTAGGCGATTCCCATTTCTGTCCCAACTCCGGTACTGTCGCGACCCGTTGAAGTTCCTTTCTCGATAAGAGGCCACGGAATTGCACAACATTAAAATATACACTCACCCATTCGACGGCGAGAGATTCAATTAGACTGGATTTCCATCCATGGGGAAGATAATATTAGTCGGTGCCGCGGTTGAAAATATACACGCGCGCGAATTCGATTAACAGCACCGGGAATATCTTATTCTAATGATCTAATGTTCGACTAGAAATACATTATAATTGG